ATGGGAAACTACAGTGGTTCGAACAGCTAGGCTGAGACTCCATGGGTAAAAATAGTGTAGCAGGTTCCTTTTAATTAGTAAGATGATCAAGTATGACAGAAGAGAGAGATGTAGGTATATGGATTTGTGTGTATGTGTGTCTTTAAAATTAAGTTATTACCTCAATATCAGGTATTATTTATAACATATATGATACATGATGTCTGATTTTTATGATGCCATTTATCTTCACTTGGGAGAGAAGACAGGCTAACTCCACTTTCATAATGTCAATCCTTGCTGTATTCAAAAGGAAAATTGTAATAAGATAAACCTGCCACCATGTGCAGTGCCATCATTTTTTAAATGATGTGGATTAGTAAGTGCTCTGATGCAGCAGACTGTCAGATCTGCAACTCCCTGAGATCGACCCTTCCCAGGGCCCCCATGAACAGCATGGGAGAGCAAGTCCAGCTTTATAGCTGCCATTTCACAACACAGGAGCCCAGCACAGGCCCAAGGAGATCAGAGACCTATCCTATCCTACCACTGTGCTGCCCACATATTTTTGAGGACTCCTCAAAACATAAACAGGGAGAAAAGAAATCTGCCACCCCTATGCTCTAGCAGTGCTTGGTGACATGTGCCCTGTGGTGATCTGCTCTGCCATGTGGATGGGGCCCTTTGGTATGTACAGATGACTTATGACTGCAACGTTTGGTCCCAGAACCACACAGCTTCAGCCCAGGCTCTGATGCAGGGCTGCCACAAAACACACACTGACCCTGCAGCTGCAGACGTCAGGCTGGTAAGCTGAGGAGGTGGAGGATGCCTGACACTTTGGGCTCTGGGTCAGAGAGATGTCCCATCGGTCCAAGGGGAACACAGGCAGGTAGGCACTGCAAACTATGCCCTTTGCCTCAGGAGGACTTGGCCAGTGGTGGGCACAACCTTCTTCTTGGCCATTGCACAAAGGTATCAGCTGATACTTCGAAAAGACCTGGAAGTAAAACGTGAACCATCACGACAATTAACATTCTCCTGCAAGGTCTTGCTGTCAGTGTCCTGCTTAATGTGGACCAGACAGCATTTGGCTTCCAGAAAGATGTGGTGCCAAAACTTGGTGCATTCATTAGTCATGAAGTACTTTCTCCTGGTCAAAAGTACCAAGTCAATGTGAAGACAGTGGGGCCTGTAGGAATTGAACAGTGGTATGAAAACCAAAAATAATCTGTAACATTATCTTCTTTGTTACTCCCCATTGATACTCTTGAAGGTGTTAGGCCTCTGGCTGGCTAGCAGGGCTCCACAGGGTCTTTCTACAAGATGGTCTGGTGTTAATCTCTGTCTGCTGGATTTTGACCCTGAAATGAGCAGGAGCCCTGTGGGTAAGATGGCTTCCACTTGCTCCAAGTCTGTGCTCCCAAAGCCAAGCTATACAGCTTTCCATCCAGAGCAGGGAGCGATTTGGAATCACTGAAAAAAATGTTCTGGGGAGGGGTTTAACCCAAGTAAGAGACAAAAAGCCTGCAATATTGTTTGAACTGTGTTGACAAAGCTTTCCTGTTTCTTTCTTTGATGAGCTGTATTTTTTCCCATCTTTTTCAAACAAGAGATGGTGAGACCCAAGTGACTAGAACAAGTAAACCTAGAGAATCTGATTTTTTCACTCACATGAAGACTCTCTAAGAAGCTGGGCATGTCTTGCTTTCTGGCTACAAACAGGCTTTCTCTGGTATGGAAATCCCCCTTGTAAGTACAGCATCATGAGCAAGGAAGGGGTTGTAAATCTCCACCTCCATGCTCCTGCTCTGACCCTATGCCACCTACACTGCTAGTGGAACCAAGTTCCCTAAATTTGAGTATGTTATGCAAAAGGAATCCATAACATCGTTAGATATATGTTCTCCCTGTGTTACTTATCTCCATGGAAAAGTAAGAGCAGATTTTAAACAATAGTAACTGCTTTATTTGTAGCAATGACGAGCTAAAAATTATTCTGGAGAGGTTCTCAATATGCCTGAAGTGACAGAGTACTATAGGAAGCAACAACTTAGTGATACTGGAAGAGAATTTAAAACACATTTTAAATATTCTTTAACTAATAAGTATGGTGGTGCAGAGAGAACAAACCCAACCAGTCCACTTTAGTCCCCACTGTAACTGATTTTGAGTTATTTCTATACTAGTAATATTCCTGATGTTTTTGCTAAATGACCTAAGTCTTCAGTCAAATTGTGTTCTTGAAATCCATATTTAAATCTTGACATTCAAAAGCAATTTACCTTGAAATGCATGCTTTTATCTAAACCTGAAGTTCTGCCCAAGTTTTGCAATATATTTCCAGTTCCCATGACCATGGCAGGGCTTCCCAGTGAATGCAAAGGCTGCAGGCAGGTCTGGCCAGGCAGGACCAGCCAGGCTGGCTCCAGCCTCTGGGAGGTAGAAGCACCCAGCACAGCCCCAAGCACAGGTTGCCGTGGCAAGGACCTCAGTTCAGTAGTTTCCCAAAATGCTGTGTTACGTGCCACAGCCAAATCTGAAAATATCCCTGGGAGTCTCCTGTGCCCTTCCAGAGTCCAACAGAGTAGCACAGCCTGGGGGTGGCCCAGGTTCATGGGCAGTTTATAGTACAGGCATTCTGGAAGCCACAACTGCACCCCAGTGACGGCTTCTCAAGGCAAATAAACTTCTAGCCCTGTCTGTTTTGGACATTCCTCTTACAGCCACCACTGGAAATCTGACTTCACATTTTTCTGTTTGCAAAATAGGCTTAGGGCCCCCTCCTGAAGAGAGCTGAGCATTTACGCTCTGTTTCAGTCAAACCTTAAGCATATGCTTAACTTCAGTGCGTCTGTGCAGGGTCAGCCTGAATATGTGATCCAGTAATGAGCAACCACTACAGTATAGTAGAGCCCTGGGAATGAGGGCAGCTGTATTGCTCCAATCCTACACAGCTGGGGAACTGGAGTGCATTTTGGAGAACTAGAGCATGCAGAATTAACTTTGTCTTAATTCGTACTCCCCAGAGTATGCCATACAGTTACTGCTCTGGTAACGTTGCCCTCTGAGGGCATTATGACATGCCAACATAGTGCCTGTTTTCTCATCTGATGGTAGTCACAAACTGCCATAATGCAAAGTATAAAAAATGCAGACCCCTCCTAGATCTGGTAGCCACCATGCCATCAGAGGATGACATTTTATATCTGTACTAAGAAACATGAAAGAAAACGCTTATAGCACGCTAGCAATTAAGACCAAAATGAACTAAAGTGCCAACCAATCTACAAAAATTTTCTTTACAGGTACTTAATTATAATTCTACCATCCAAACTGAGCTTGTCAAGTTACCCTTCAAATCAAATGCAAGAGAAAAACCCATCCTTGGCTGTATTACTATAAACCCAGACAGTCTAGTAAAGTAGAGAGTTACTTTTCTACGTATTTGGCAAATCTGGGAGCAGAATTTACCACTCGGTATAAATATTTCTGCATAGTTTGTTTAAAAAAAATCTCGCCTATTCCTCTTTCTGGCAGACTCTTAGAAAGTAGTAAATATGCAGATGGGCGTAGTGATATATTTTGTATCAACATCTTTTAAATGTGTGCATATGCATTAGCTATATAAATATATTCTCCAGGAAGTCTGCCAGTGGATATACTACAAAGCTCTGCGTGTTACATTTGGGTTTGCTTGTGCAGTAGCATGGCAGCGTCAGAAAGAACCCCTCTAGGTTTATTTGCTCTACACTAGCTCACACTTACCTGCATAGTTTCCCCTTTTCTATCTGTATGTACGAATGTTTCATATTTATATGCCATGTGTGCATCTACAGTGTATATAGAAATGCACATACAGACATACAAATGCAAGTGTATTTACTGTATATACACATAGTGCCTTCATTATAAAGCTGTTATAAAGCCATGACAAGGCTCATGAACTTCCTCTGAAACAATTGTTCTGTACTGTATCTTCTACGGGAATCAACTGCTTGATGACTCTGCTGTCCCAGTATCACCTTACAGCTAATGATGGGTGATATGTGAAGGCCACAGCAGTATGCCAAAACTGTATGACATACCAAGTAAAAACGTACTTGATACTGAGCAACACAAGAATAATGCCCCACGGACACTGTTGCTGCATTTTGAGTTCTAGCCCTGTCCTTGTTCTATGCCAGCCCACACACACACCCTGTCCCACCCCTGCTGCCCAGTACCGCTGCTCCTCCACCCCGCTGGCACCATCTTCCTCTGGTCCTGCCCCCTCTCCCTGCTCTTCCCTTTCTCTAGAATATTTGCTGCACATGCAGATCCCCGAAAGCAAGTGGATGAGTGAGTCTTGTCTAAGCTCTGGCATCCTGCCTGGGGGCTGGACAGAAGCAACCCCAGCCAGTGCCCAGCATGTCTCTGCAGCTAGACCAGCACCCCCCACCGTCAGACTGGCTGGAGGGTGAAGTCTGGCGAAGGGTAAGATAGGAGAGGACATCTGTCCATTGCCCTTGAGATCCCTTACGTAAAAGGTGTCGTGTTTCTTGCTGTTGGTGTGCTCCTTTTCCTGTGTGGGTGTCCTGAAGGAGTCACAAAGTATCGCCCATCAGATGAGCACCAACAGATGGGGGTAACGGAGGAAGCGGCCACAGTGCTGCGGGGGGACATGGATGTGTATACACATATGGTACCATGAACCATGCGCGGGGGGCAGTGTGGATACTGTTGCAATGGCACTATGAGAACCATGCTCATCTACTTCATTGCGCAAGGAAAAGCCACAGCGAATACTCTAGTGTGAATACAGCAAAAAGACAACCTTGTATTTCATTTTCGACAAAAATCCATTTGCTTTTGCAGTGATGACAAGCTAGAATGAGCATTATGGAATTCTGCTTCCCACCCTCCCCCCATTTTGGAGCTACTATTTAGATGAGCTACAGTATTAAAAGAGAAGCTGCAAAGATGCTAGCTGCAAAAATAAACGATGAAATAAAAGAGTCAAGCGCCCACGTTCCCCCCAGCTAAAAATGAAGTTCTGAGGAAAGGGTGGAGGGAAAAGAAAATAAACTTACCACGCTGCGAGTGAACTTTTCTAGAGAAGTTCTACGACCTTGCTCATTCTCTGGCTTAATAGGGAAAAAAAGTGGGGAGAAAAAAAATACAGAAAAAAACCCTTCAGCTTAAATGCAGTTTTTCAAAACAGCAGCAAAATATAAGGAAGCAGCAAGGGGAAAAAGTTGTAAAAAAATGTAAAAAGCAGAAATCAATGTTTGCAACAGCAAACATAAGAAACCAAAGCCCCTGAAAGAATGAGAAACATAACTACTTTTACTCTTGGAGAATGTCACCTTTTCTCCTTTGAGTTTTTTGAATGGTTCAAACAGTGTCTGTGTGTTGCCACATCTCACAGCTATTGGTATCGATTTCTTGCTCATTGAATTTTCCTTCTGCGGCTGTTTGAGCTGAGACCTCTGATTCTGGTTAATATCTGCCAAGCAGCTGATTGGAGGCTCCCATCTACTTGCTTAGAGAGATGGAAAAAAACCCCCACAGTAACTTTTACAACATTAAAAAGCAATGTGTGAGTGAATACAGCACTGGAAGAAAACCACCACTGAACTCATTTCCAGGGAGCCTACACTCTTTTTATCCAGAGGCTAGAAGAACTTTCCAATAAGTCTGGCTACAACAAAACGTAAGACAGTGTATACAAGTCTGTGCAAGCCCACAGAAAGATACAGGCAGAACTGGGGCACTGGTATTTTTGAATCTGGGATACAGGACTATCCATACACAAGAAGACATTCAACTTCACTGGAAGAAGACAAGCATGTGCATCATGGCTTTATTAACATATCCCTGAGAAGGATGCTCACTGCAGCGCTTCATTCATTTGGCACAAGGGAGATCTAACTGTCACTAACAAGGAAGAACTAAACAATTTATTGGTATGTTTGCTGGAATATCTAAAAGAAACAAATTGTTATGGAGACAAGAAGAAACTCGATAACATGACAGAAAGCTCACTGCAGTTACAAAGCTATAGGTACTGCTGATTTCCAGGACAGAAACCTATTTTTATATGGTGAACCAGTGAAATGGAGGTGATAAGATAGAAGTAAAACTGCTGTAAACGGGACAAGGAGCTACATATATGGGAAAACCACAGTAATGATGGTGCATGACAGTTCATTGGAAAGAAACACCTCACTAGAAACAAGCACTGCACTGGAGGTACTCATCAGAGGTGCCCACCTGCCGTATCACCTGCCACAGATTCAGCTGCAGTAACAATGCCCAGGGTAACGCAACAGTGCAAAAACCAGACAGAGAAGATGCAAGGAAGTCAAAAGCGTATCAGATAAATCAGATGAAAACTTGTATAGGTGAGTGTAGGCTTCTAGGTGAGTAATTCTTCTGCTTCTTCACCACAACTGCCATGAACAGCAGCTCTCTGATGTCTACAAGGCTAGTCTGAAGCATCCCAGGAAGAGATGGGGCTAATTCTCCTTGCTGCACCAACAGCAATGAGACCAGAAGACAAGGCCCTTTTAAGACAAGCAATATTCTTTGTCCAGAAGAAAGAGTCAAGCAACCTCCCCTCTTACAACCATTTGAGGAAGCCACACCATCAGCTTTCATGGTCCAAAAGTGGTATCAAAAGTAAAAGCCAGAGGCATGTTTTTTTAGTCAATACAGTGGATGGAGCCAGGGCCTCAGAGCATGTACTGAAGCAACAAAGGAGGCTTCCTGGCTGGCAGGGGGCCAGAAAGGTACCCAGTAATATGCATCCCAAGGAGTATTTAACATGCCCTGAGGGTTAGTTGCCCCTCCCTGCATGTGAGAGGAGAAAGGGAAAAGGAATGTCAGCCGGGCAGTTTGCTAACTGCAGCAGTGCAAGTGCTCAGAGCATCACAGATCCCCTCCCTGGAGAAGCCTCAGTGCTGTCAAGACACCCCAAAAGAAGCAGAGGTGACAGAGGGAGGCTGCAGTCCTGCCTCCTGGGCTGAATGTGTCGTGACAAGTGGGTCTGAGAACAGCAGTGCATGGCCATGCACAGAGCTCCATGCTGGTGTCCTGCAAGGGTGGCAAGACCCACCAACAGCCAGGGTAGAGGCATTCATTTCACTCAAGAGAAGAAATAACTACACAAAAGGCAGAGCGCTCTGTGAGGCTCCCTAGTGGAGCAAGGCACTTGGAGTCTGCAGCATCACATTGCTGTGGGCTGTAAAATCAGCATTTTAAAGTGGAGCTCTGGAGTGCACTGGGGCAAAGGAGAGTGAGCTGCTGAAAACAGGCCACACTGTCGAAATTTAGTGTCTGTTTTTGCTACTAGCAAGGTGATGCAGCTTCCTGTGCAACTGGGCTTCAAAGATGATGAGCACCTTCTTGGGGTGCTGAGAGCTCATCTAGCACAGGAGGCCACACACAAGGCTGTTTCCCCACCATGGCGTGGGGAAGCAGGTACCAAGAGCACCAATGGTGTCCCACAGAAGTGCCTTGCAAGCAAAGGCTGCAGCAACCCTGCACATTTGGCATGGGGATGGCAGGCTGGGGCCAGCTGGGTGAGTGGAAAGCCCATCCCCATAGCATCCAGCTCTGAGTCAAAGCACGACATTTTCCAGTAAAATAAAAAGCAGCTGAGGCAGGCTGGCTGCAGAGTGATGAGCCGAGTGGAGCAGCTTTAATGGCAGTGGGTGTGAGTGCTGGCTGTAGGGCTCTCTGGCTCTATCTGCCTGCTTGCCTGCAGACCATCTGGCTGGCAGCCTGCTGCGGAGGTGCCTGCCCGCAGCCCTCCAGCACGGCATGGAGGTGTGGAGGCTGCCTTGCACAGCAGAGGAAGGAAATTGAAAAATAACATGGTAAAAAAATAAAATAAAAATTAAAATAAAGAAAAGTGACCAAATCAGACCTTTCTCTGTCCTGTGAAAAGATCTGGGGTCCTGCGGAGGAAGAGTCTGACAAGGCTGCAGATGCTGGAGCTGTGCCTGCTGCAGCACCACAATGGCGTTTGCACAAACACACGTTGAGAGGGAAAAGGGCAAAGGCAGAGAAACACATGTGCATGCCAGGCCAAGCAGGCCTCCCAGGTGCAAAAAAGATCATCTTTGCCAGGAAATACACCAACAGACTCCACCAGCTAATGGCAAAGGACATGTGTATTTGAATAAAATATGAAACAACCACCCCTGCTGCAAATGAAAACCTCTCCACTCAGATAGGTGCAGAAAAATAGATCTCACCATTAGGAACTGTTCACTAATTATTGATTGTCTACTCCAAACTTTCCTCTTTTTTTCATGATTAATTATTTACCCAGCCACCCCAATGTTAAGTTCCTTTGTGTAGATTTTGCTGGCATAGGGCACTGTAAGGAGAATAAACTTACGAAAACCAGCTGACCCTGATAATTAAAAGTAATTATGAGAAAATTGCTCAGTATCTTTACAACACTCAAGCCAAGTCCTACCACTGAATCAAATTGGTCAAGTGTGTCCTGAGGGGACTGAGATAGGAACAGAATGTGCAGTAGGAATATTGCTGGACAATATAGAGCAGTCGGGACAGGGGCTCTGGATAAAGGCCATGCTTCAAAAGGAGGGTGCTCAAAATCGAGCCTGTCTCTTATGGCATGAAGCTCCTAGCCATTCCCTTGCTGACACTTTTTGCCAGAGATGTGACAAGGGGTAGGGAAATGCATCCAGAAGCTTGGTCTTTGGAACTGCAGGTCTGCAAAAATCCCTGCCTCCCTCTCTCCACCCCAGGATTAATCTGGTTTGCTATTGAATCTCTCTTTTTTTTTTTTTTGTATGAGTCTTTGGAGCTTGGGGTGTGGTTTTTTGTACTTTAATTTGGTGAAAACCATGAGTTCCAGAGGGAACGGCATGAGACAAAAATAAAGGAGGTTAACCACTTCCCTGACCCTGGCTCAGGAAAAGGCCAGGAGTGGGTCCTGGGCTTCTCAGGCAGTCAGGTACAACTGTCCAAAGCAAGAAAGCAACGAGCATCTACAGAGCTACCAAATGGCTGGAACAGTATTTTGCATCTATTTTGTGTCCATTTGCACAGGACCACAGAGAACTCACTCTTCTCTGAACCAGCTGGAGAGGAAAACAATGCTCTATACTGAGCAAAAACCAACCCGCGGTGTGACACAACTCACATCCATAGCTTTGCAGCCTGCTTGTGCTGCAGCCACTTTTCCAGGATGCTCCCCTGCCTGCAGGCAGGGCTGGACAGCAGGAAGCTACCCTGTGCCAGGCTGCCATGAACACCGGAGCCGTGACAGCTCAGCTGCCACTTCAGCTGGCAGTCAAGTGCCTGTTAACTTGGAGATGCCCACCAGTGTTATTGTTTCACCTTTACAGGGAGTAATGGAAAGTGCCTCCAGGTCTTTTCTGTTCCCTCTCTCCAATCTCCTCAAAAATAACTAGCAGAGCATGTCTGACTGCTCCTCCACTGTTAAAAAAGCTCCTGTGCACCTCCACCCCCTTCCATGTGCACTAAATAATCTATGCTGCTCCTTCCCCAGGGAATAAATCCCCGCTTTGCAGCCAAGTCACCCAGCCAAATCTTCTCCCTGCCTTGAGCAAGGAGGTTTGCCACAGCACTCATTCTGACATGAGGCTCGCTGCTGTTTAAGGACATCCAGCCACCATTTTGGCTTCCGTGGAGGAAAGCTGAGGGGTGTTGCAGTGCTGATTACCTGCTGTAAAGTAGCCTGAAGTAACGTGTATATCTGCTGAAAAAGGAACAGGTTGATGCTTGACTTGGCAGAGCACGAGTGGGGCATGTTGCACAGATGCACAAATAAAATGTGATAAGCCAGTCAGGGATCTTAGCACCATCCAGCCCTTTGCTGCTGAGCTGGCTGCTCTCAGAGGCCCTGAGATTTCTATCCTCTGCTAAAGGGAGAAGGCTGGGCATGGAGGCACAGAGCTCAAATTGGGCTGGGTGTACAGCCATTCATCCTGAGGACAGGGCTCTGCCCTTGTCCCTCCTCTCCTCCAGCCTGGCAGGGGAGGAGGACTTCTGTGCAAGGCAGGGAGCTACACCCAGCATTCTGCCTCTGCAGCACACTGCTTCCAATCACACCCTTGCTGGAGGCCAACCTCATGTTCCCTGCTGAGCACCATGAATCTGCAGGATTGAGGCCAATAATACTGTGGTTATTTGCAATAAAGACATTGGGAAGAACACAGAAAAAAACAATCTAAAATGGATTAACAAAGTATGTATGCTTGGTCTGTACACAGCCTATGTCCACTGTCTTGCATCAGTTAGTGGTGTGAACAATATGTTCCTTTTATCCTCCCTGGCACCACTCATAATTCTGTCATTGTATCTCAGTCCTGACCCATAACTTCTCCTCCCTCCCTCCATTACTGCACTCCCAGAGCAAGGAGGGGAAGCTCCCACATCTATGGCTATTGTACAGTGTGGAAAAAAAGTAACTTCAAACTTACAGTCCCTTACCAATTTCAAAAATGTCAAGCATGTTTTGAGGCACCAATCAAACCTTGCCACCTCTCCACTGAGCAGGTCGGTATTATTCCCAGTTGGTAGGGGAGATAACACAGGCAAAAACTGAACCTTCTTTTCCCCAAGGTGTCACAAGAAATTAAGTGGGGGAACCAGGGAAAAGTGCATGGATTTTGTGGCTCTCAGTTCTGTGTTTTAGCCACACAGCCAACTTTTCCCTCCTGCCCACTCTGCTTGTCACAACTCAGGACTGGAAGGAAAAAGACCCCAAATAACATAAACTTACCCACAAAATACTAATTTGTGAATCTCAAGCCATAGAGATGTTAATTTGCTTTGTGCAAGAAGCTCTGTTAGCCCATGTCCATCATGCTGTGCTTCTGACAGAACTTATTTTCAGTAGTAAAAGTAAGGCTGTGCTAGATCAATGTGGTACATAGGCAACATTTGGATAATGTCTTTGGGGCAAAACATACTCATGCCCCAGACTCATCAAGTCTTAAAAAACTGCAGTGAATTTCTGTTCATATCAGAGAATCTGGAACTTGTATGCAGGCTCTATATCAAATCCTCCATCCACGCAGGCTTTGATATGCACCTGGCTTTCTCTTCTCCTTCCCTCTGCTTTCCAGCTATTTAGAGGAGTTTTAAAGGGATGCCTTCTCAAAGCTGCACCAAAGGCACTGATGAACTGACCGTGTAGCTCAGAGTACAGAAACTTCATGTTCTGTCAGCATCTCTGTACCTACACTGCTTCAGAAACGTTCACTTGCCCAACACAATGAAACACGATTGCAAAGAGCTTTACAGATTCTGGAGTAATATCAGCTTCCCTTCTGCATCCTCTAAAGCTGGTGAACAGGCCATCTACACAGATCTACTGCTTTTTTCGTGCCTTGCTATGTTTACTCGTGCACCCACAGCTCTTTTGAAAAGAAACTTGATTCTTAACTTTCACGGCTCTGTTAACCTGACACCAAAACCTGCTCCCTGTTTGCAGGGGGATGAGGATGTCATACTGACACATCCAGGGCTTGATCTGACAGTAAAACAAGGGCTGCAAAAAAAACGGTTTGAGTGTGCTCAGCTGGGAGGAGAAAAATCTCCTGCTTTGAAGCACATAAACCCTCACATGCTCAAGAGGGACTTGGGGTTGGGAGACATATACTGCTAGTTCATACGGGTAGGAAGATGGCAAAGGTTTTTTAAGCCTTAGATGATCAGAAGTCTTTCCCTTCTACCTTATTCTTTCTGTACAGCCTCTGAACTCTTAAGTCAGGTCTAACCTTTTCAAATGTAAGCAGCACTGATTTATGCTGTCTCAAACCAGACATTTTGAAACAGGGCTCAGTGCTGTCCTCCATTACCTTCCCCTAATCCACCTGCCAGTAGTCCCAGGCACAGGCAACAGAGAGGTTTGTCCCCTTTTGTCACCATATGCCTGCTTTTAGGGCACACAATGACAATCAGGACAAAAATACCACCGGGATTTCATTGCGCTGTGCCAGTGCAATGTAATTTGGCAGCACACAGAGAATGCAGCAGAAAAACACCAGGGAAGACAGTGATGGGAAACCACACATTCAGGCTGCAGGAGTCAGGAGTCAGTTCATGTACGGTCCAGGAAGCCAAATATAAGTGGGACACGTACACGTGTATGTGCATGCACATGCACACAGTCGGACACGCAAACTTATGGGAGTAAGTCAGGAGGTGCAGGAAACATTTGAACAGAACCACAAAAGCAGAGATCAGCAGCTTACCTTCCAGCCCTCTCAGAAAGACTGGACCCTTGGACAGGCACTGCATAACCCCTCCTTCACTATCCTGAACTGGGGGGTCCTGGCAGATACACGGTGCTGGCAGAGCACATGCACACACCACAAAGGCTAAAAAGAACTCAAACCCTTTCTCTTGTGAGAAAGCATGGCTGGAATTCTTCATTACTGTATGGGTCACAATTACTTACAATCTCTAAGGAAAAGGAAAAATCACTGGGGAGCCGAAAGCAAGGGAAAGGGAGAAAGGGAGCATGGGAATCACTGCAGGGAGGTCTGCAGGTAAGGCATCTAAAGGAAAGATCACACAGTGAGGCTAGGGAAGTGGACCCCAGTAAGGTTGAAATTTGCACCAGTAATTAATAGATTGATGCGGTTTGCTTCTCATATCAGACACTGTCTTTGTCATGAGAAGGAGGCAATTTGAATTTGGGTTTCGGAGACAGCTGGGCACAACAAACACTTTTCTGTATTATTTTTACCTTGGGTCACCATGCTTTCCCCAAAACACAAGCTGAGGCTGTGCATACGGATGCCATATTCTGTGCCCTCAGTGAGGAAAGCAAAAGCTCATTCCTTTGTTAAATGAAGAGAGGGGTGGGAAAGAAAACTGTATTTTAATTTTCAGACAAGCAGCAAGCAGCAGGCGAGAATCAAGAGATGCTAAGGGCAGCAAGCATGTCCTTTCCAACAGATACCTTCTTCTTTGCCAGCAGTAAGTCCTGGTAAGCATTCGAGCGGAGGAAGCGCGCGTAGCTGTCACTCTTCATCAGCTTGTAAATGTGCTCCTATGGGACGGGAGGAAATGAGAGACAGAGAATTGTTATCAAACCTCATTTAGACATCACAAGGATTTAAAACACAGCAAATTAGAAGGAAGAGAGGCTGATCAAAGTCCTAATTAAGTCTGCTATTATTGATTATCTGTGTTGTGGTAGTGCACAGGAGGTCCATCCTGGGGCAAGACCCTGCTGTGCCTGAGGCTGTATGAACACAAAACAAAGAGATGGCCCTCACCCCAAAGGCTGGCACACATTATTCAGTAATCAGAGTTCTTCTGCAAAGGCTGCAACTCTCTGAAGTTCCCAGACTGTAAGAAGCAGGTGTCTAGCCAGGCTGAAACTACTGGTATCTCTCAAGAAGGAAGAAATAAACACCAGAAATTGTCCTGTAGATTAGATTTCATTTTACCACTCATAGATGGCTGAACTATCACTCAGCAACCCCCTCTTTTTTTACAGAGGGGAAATGATACTTGGAGACATTTCATCTCCACTAAAGACGTACTTCGAAGCAAGCCAACCTGTTAACATCCTGGAAAAGCCTGTATCTCTGGTGACTGTGCAGGGAGGTTACACAACTAGCTCAGATGTGTTCAGCTACATCATATATATAAAGTAATGTCAGATGAGTCCCTCCCCTAAGGTCTTTTTTCTCCCAGCAAGTCAAACTGCTGTTACCAGTTTGCTCTGAAAGCACTTACTACGTGCATCTTTAGACTTGCAGTGATGTTTCATTACAGAATTTCATGCCCACGCTTTTCCAGTTTCCTTGCTTAGTTTTACTTTCCTGCT